GCAGCACCCGCAGGTCCCGCCAGGCTGGGGCCCATCCTCCGGAAGCCTGCGCTGGTCCCCAGGGCTGCCGGCACCCAGTCCCACCAGCTGGATGCTTAGAACAACAGGATTCTTTTCCTCTCATAGTGCTGAAGGCTAGGAGTCCAAAATCAAGGTGTTTCTTCAAAGCATCTAGAGGAAGACCCTTCCTTGTCTCTCCCAGTGTCTGGTTATCTGACATTATTGTTTTTTTTTTAAATTTTTTTCCCCTTTATTGATTTTACAGAGAGAGAGGGAGAGGGAGAGAGAGACAGAAACATCGATGAGAGAGAACACTGATTGGCCGCCTCCTGCATGCCCCCCGACTGGGGATCGGGCCCACAGCCTGGGCATGTGCCCTGACCAGGAATCGAACCAGCGACTTCTTGGTGTATGGGTCGATGTTCAACCACTGAGCCACGCCAGCCGGGCTCGTCCGACATTCTTGGCTCATGACAGCGTAACTCCCATCTAGGTCTCGGTTACCACATGGCTGTCTCCTCCCGCGTTTTTACATCATCTCCCCTCCGTGTGTCCTGTGTCCAAAGTTCCTTCTTAGAAGGACACCAGTCATACTGGGTCAGGGGCCCATCCTATTCCAGTATTACCTCATCTTAACTAATTACATGTGCATCTGGAGTAATGACATCTGTTTCCAAATAAAGTCACATTCTAGGGTACAGGGGTTAAGGTTTCCGTATATCTTTTAGGGGACACAATGAAACCCATGACACGAGCTGAAGGAAGGGCTCGCTAGCAGCACTTCACGCGGGCAGCACTTCACGCTGTCCTAGTGGCACGGCCTCCTCAGGGCGCCCTGGCCTCCGTGCCTACCGCACACGCGTCTCATGTCCCCGCCCCCCACTCTGTCTCCTCTGCCCACACCTCTCACTCCACCTCTCCGCGCTGGGGCACCCCAAGACCTCATCCCTGTCTACACTCACACCCTAGCGAACCCCATCCGGTCCCACAGCTTTAAACTCCATCTATCCCCTGACCACCTCCGTACAGGGTGGGGCAAAAGGAGGTTTGCAGTCATGAGGACACGAGACGCAGAGTTCATTCTTACATTAGTATTTATTAATTACTGCATTCTTTTCCACAGGAATAACTGCAAACCTACCTTTGCCCTAACCTATTATTTATGCCTCCACCCCACCCCTGGACCTTCAGGACCACAGCCCACTGCCTTCCTGACACCACCCTGGCTACGGAGTATCTCTGACTTCTTGTGTTCAAGCAGAGCTATTTGGTTTTTCTCCTAAACCTTCTTCTTCCCCACACTTCTTTAAAGTAGCAAATGGCCTCACCTACACCCAGCACACCTTGGTCATGTGGTGTCCCTGACTCTGATCTTTCCCTCTTCCTCCCATGTCCAATCAGGACATCTTTGGTGGCTCCTCCTCCTGTGATGCCACGAATCTGCCTCCTTCCCGCCAGCCTTGCTGCTGTTAATCACCCGAGCCCAGGGGAGCGGTTCCTGCTGTCCGTGAGCCAATCCAGCCACAACCAATCGTGCATGCATCATCTATCTCGGCAGAGCTGAGCAGCTGCAACAGTGACCATGACTGGCAATGATGAAAAAAATGTGCCCTCTGGCCCTTCGTAGCAAAGTCTGCCAACCCCTGGTCTGAGCACCTGATAGCACCTTTGACTGTCCTGTCGTGTCATTCTCTTGCTGGCAACGAAAGACCAGAAACAACCACATCCCTTCCTTTGTTTCCTGATCAAAACCCTCACCCAGGGCCTGCCAAGTGGCTCTCTCCCTCCCCTGTTCTCTCCTGCACACCATCACTGAGGATTAACTCCTGGAAATGCCATGTTCGCCCTGCTCAAGGACCTGCAGTAGCTCCCATGGTCCCCACCATTTGGCCTGCACACCTATTTAATTTTCAAAGATCCTCCTCCACAGCCTGGCCCGACCCTCGAAGTTGATCAAGGCCCTACTGCTCCCCAACAGGGTACACCGATGCCTTCCACTCTCCCCAAGGTGCCTGTCGGCCTCTTCGCTACCTTATTTCCATCATCGTTCCACTGTGTTCAAAACTCTCGCATACTAAAACCTTCCTAGACCCCAAATCTCCCCTCTAGTAACCATCTAGCTTGCTGCTTTCCTTTCCAGGACAGAGATTTTCTATAAACGAAAAAAAATCTGAAGCCACTGTCTAGTACTGTCATCTCGACTCCCTCACCTCCCGTTCACCCACTGCCACCGGGAGTCCCCTTCTCCACCGAGATCCCTCCTGCCAGGGTCACCGATATGTCACCGGATCCAGTAAGTTTTGTTTCACTGTCTTCTCCCAGCAGCATTTAACCACACTCTCCTCTTTCCATCTAAGTTTCTCTCTATTCCTGCACAGTATCTCCTTTGTTTGCTTTCCCCACTAAACCGTGAGTTCCTAGAGGAAGGAACCATGTCATGAGTGGTTCTCTGACAGCAAACATACTAGAATGTATCTGGCAGGCCTTCAATCAATGTTCGCAAAAATCAACTCTCTGCCACTTATTGTTTTCAGTTTGAGAAGTTCCATTTCCCTGTGAAATTCTCCCTACTATCTTAATTATTTGAACATTATATTAATAATTATTTTAAATGTATGTCTGATCAATATATTCTCTGGATCTCCTGAGGGTCTGTTTCTAGTTCTGGTTTTTCTCTTGGCTTTCTTACACCCTGCTTACTTTGAATCGAGTGTTAAACATCATATGTGAAAAACTGGAGCCAGAATCTGAGGCTCTGGATGAAGTGACCTTCCTCCAGGGAGACTGACTTATTTTTGCATCTGGTTGGCAGGTAGGCTGGATAGGCTGACAATCCCAAAGCTCCCTCATTCAATTGGTATTGAAATGATTTATCCAGGGATCTAGTCCCTCAGAGGGCTGGTTTAATTTTGGACTAGCCCTTAGTCCTCAGCAATGGCCTTTCAAGCCTGGGGTGTTGACCAGAGTCCTTCCAACTTGGCAGGTCCCGACTTCAATTTCTGTGTCCAGCTCTTTGAATCTGGCAAGAGCTCTGCTAAGACCCTGAGCCAAACTTCCATCCAAACAATCTAGACTATTACCGCCAGGAGAGGAGAGCTCCTTAATCTCTCACTAATACACGAAACCCAAGGCTTGCCTGCCCACACTGCTCTGGAATATCTCCCCTCTTCCCTGCAGGAGCAACAGGAGCCCAGAGACCTGATTCTAGACCCAGAGCTGGCACTAATCCTGTGACTCCTAGGCTTGGCCTTTCAAGGGGCCCTTATCCTTATGGGTAAAATGCACCTGGATCAAAATCTTTGAATTTCTTCCTGCTCTAGGAGTTTTGGAACCTCTTACCTTTCTGATGTAAGGGCAATCCCAGGCTATACATCTCTCTTGTGTGGATCCATCAATGCCCAGCCCAGTGACTGATTACAACTTTCCATTCTCCTAAGAACAGTGTAACAAATGGACTTCAACTACAACAGTGTGGATTTAGATTTGCAAATAACATTGTTCAGTTTCTGGAACTGTGCCCTTTCATGCTGAGAAGCCCTATTATTTCTCGCCCTGGCTACTGAGTCATGCAAAGTTGATGAGGACCCAGCCGACGCTAGGGCTGAAAGTCAGAGAGAAAAGCCCCAACCCCAAGAAGAGAGTCACTGTAGGGCATCACTATGCCTAAGGACACGCAATAAATAAACATGAGGGGAACAGGCCCAAGTCAGAGCCAAAGACTTATTGTTCTTTTTAAAAAAGACAGATGCTGACTGTGTTCGGCAACAGGCCAAGGCAGGAGAGAGTCAAACAAACTCCATTCTTTGGCTTTTCAGAAACTAAAATACTACGCCTTCCTCAGTGGAGAACAGCAGAAGATACGCAAACATTCTGTGTTTTCATGACGGACAAAAGAACCAGTGGTGGAAACAATGACAGGCCAAAACAAAGTCCTACTTTCATAAATGCAGAGCAGATAATGGAGCCTCTTCACTATGCAGAGAATGTCGTCTGCACAGACGTGGCCCCGGCTCCGCCCTGCACAGCCTCTGTGCACCACCCCGTTCCCACCACCTCCACCACTGCCTGACCACAGAGCTCTTGGCCTGCACCTCTCCCCTCTAGGACAGGTGTCTCCTGCATAGTGTTCCCCCTTCCTTGCAGTATCTGCACCCATCAGAAAGCAAAGGAATCTATTCCAAAAGCTGGGCAGCAGCCCAGACCCCCTGAGGGAGTCATCCCTGGGCTTCTCCATGCTTCGTCACACACTAGCTAGAGGCAAAGGAACTCGATGTTGGTCCTTACTGTTTCAAACAGACTCAATGCTGTGTTTGAGTCCTCATCCTGCACTATCTGACAATGTTCAGTCAAGCATTCAAAACGTACTGAGAACCCACTATGGGCCAGACACTCCGCCGGGCGTTAAGGATAGCTAGGTGACTGGGATACGTGAGGTGCCTGCTGTTACGGAGCTAAAATGCACAAAGCGCCTCAGGTTCCCCATCTTCTAAACAAAGGTGCTGTGTGGGAGACTGTTTGCATGGCATCTATTTTGCTAAAATCTGCTCTGCCATCTCCTGGCCCAAGGCAGGATATCTCTGTTTGTTCCACCTGTGATATTTACGTGATATTTACTTGAAATTGCTTCAGGGTGGTTACCACAAACATGCTTGGCAACAAATGTTCTTGTTTTTCTGCTTCTTGCCATATATATACTGTGGATCTCCCCAGAATAAAGGAGACTTGATCAGAGCCCTGTCTTGTCTCCATTTCTTGTGTCTCTTGTCCCTCCTCATCCTCACTCCCCCTCTAGAGTCCTCGTTGCTGGACCTGCGGGACGGGTCAGTGCTGGACCAAGTATCTCTGAGGCTCCCTCTGATTTTAGAGTGCTATGGTTGTATAATCAGTCACAGCCCTGGTTGGCCACGTGCATCTGTGTGGTGTGGACTGGCCCAGCTCTCTGGGCCTCGGTTCCCACGTCGATAACGCACACAGGTGACAGGTGAACACGTCCCAGTTACCTTATGCAGGCACAGGGGAAGGTTCCCAGGGTTCTCCTGCAAGGAGTCCATCCGCTGCACAGCCGCCCAGCAGTAAGAATCCACGAAGGCAGCCTGACGCCAGGAGAACGAGCTTGGGGAGAAACAGCTGATTTGTGTACCTAAGAAACAGAAGCAGATTGTTCCAGATGAATGGAAGTGCAGTGCCTGGACCCCCGCCGCCACCGCTCCCTCCCTGCCTCCGGTTTTCAAGGATGAGCTAAGGCAAGGAGCTCCGGCAGGACAGGACAGAACTGAACCAACCCGCCCAGCTCTGCAGTAAAGCCGAGTGTTAGAGCGTTTGGGGCCAACACTGGTCATGACAGCAGCTTGAGCTCTGGTGGGGAAAAACTCTTAAACAAAGTGAAATTACCATTAAAAAAAAGAAAGAAAGAAAAAGTGAACAAGAATAGAACCAGAGCCAAAATGAATGAAGGGAACCTGTTCCCTTTGGGGTGAGGGCTGAGAAGGAAGGGGGATTACAGGGTGGGGACGGGGCAGGGGGCAGTGAGTCAGTGCAGATAACCAGACTAGATAAAAAGGCCTATTAGGACAGAGAAACAAAGAACTTTTAGCCTGAGGAGGCAAAGGCTGATGGAGTATTTGGTAATATCCACTTGATGACAAATCCGTCCTTTTCCATCTCCTCTAACAAAAAAGGCACAGGCTGAAACTGCAGCCCGAATGGCTTACATTTGGAACAAAGTGTCCATCAGTAGATGAGTGGATGGGAGGCAGATGCTCCAGATGGCAAACCTCCAGAGAGGGAGATGGGCGCTGGGCGGGGCATCAGGAGAGCTGGGCCGTGTTTGAGGCTCTGCCATTAACATGCTCTCCTGGGAGCTCAGAACTTGGTTTTCTCTTCTGCAAACCGGGGACCACATCACTCTGCAAATGCTACCATCACCTACCCCCTGGAAGGCTCTTCATGCTCTCAAGTGCCTGTGTGCTCCTCACTCACACAGGCCATGTGGGGAATTGACCAAAGAGACTTTTGGGGTGCAGGTAGAGCACCTGGCACTGAGCCCCTCCTGGCAGCCCCTAGCCCAGCCCTGCTTCCCTGTCCCATCAAGCATACATAGGGGCCTGGGTGTGTCACGGGCACAGGGACCAGCTGCTGAGACCAGGAGCAGGCACACTCTCTTCCACACCCTGTGCAGCGTAAGTATGCTAAATGCTTGGGCTCTGATGTTAGTTGTATTGACACTGAACTCTGCCACTCTCAGCTGGGTGACCTCAGGTCACCTAACCTTTCAAAGCCAAGGATCTCCAAAAGGGCGAAGACATCAATGTTACAGTCTTAGTATAGTGCCTGGTCCCCAGTAGTTGCGTAATAAGCATTACATTCTTCTATACAAAGTAACTCATTGCAGCTTTAAAGATGAGGGGCATGCCCACCTTTCTCACTTCCCTCCCTACAGAGTGGGGACAAGGATGGTAGGAAGACACTGAATTGGATTTCCCTACTCCCCAGGACATAAAATGCCTTGAAAAGGTCACCTTTCCCTGGGGAGGGGATGACCTTTATACTTACAACAGGAGAGGGCAGTGATGGGGATGTTGTCCAGAGAGTAGATTTGCATGGTGGTGGTGGGGACAATGGGCAAGGCCCTGAGCACCCCCTCTTTTTCACTGGATGCCTTTATGTCCACAGGCACCAGGAAGGACTTCTCCGGAAGAGCCCTTGGAGGAGCTCATTGTGAAAAGTCATGTGCCATTAGAACGTGTCCTATAATACCCACTAGAAATGGTCTAAATAGGAGTTGGAAGAACATAAGGTATTTCAAGCTCCCTTCCAGCTCTCTCATCCCATCTAACTTCAGTTCTTACATTTTATAAAAATAGAGCAGTCAGGATAGCATAGGACCATGGGGCTGATGTCACACTGCTCTCCCATCAGCAGGACTTTGTCAAATGCTTTCCATGTGGTCCTACCCACCAAGACTTACTGAGCACGGTGACAGAGACACAAGAGGGACTGGCAGGCTCAGGCCATAAAGGATGGTCCCTGGAAAGTTGCTTGCTTGGCAACATGTCCAAATACCTTTCATAAAAATGGACAATGTGCCGTGGCCGGTTTGGCTCAGCGGTTGGAGCATTGGCCTGCGGACCAGAGAGTCCTGGGTTCGGTTCCCGCTAAGGGCACATACCCCCTCCCTCCCCCCCTAAAAAGAACAATGCTGTTAGGATTTTATGGGAACCTGCCTGGCCCATATGTTCCCCAAGTATAGTCCTCTTAGTGCATGTAGCCAACATGTAGTAACATTCTTTCCACAGGAAAATGTGCTTCAAGTTCTGTCTTAGGACCTCAGGGACCTCGGCCAAGGCAGTGGTAGAAACTGTTGCAGCATAAAGAACTAAATGTTTTATACCAAAGCTTTTGAAAAGAATCAAGAAAGAAAATATAACTGTGTGTAGAGAGACAGAGACTGAGGATGTGCTGAGCCCACAAGTAAATGTCCTTCACCTGGAATGGAAGGTCAGAATAAAAGACAGCAGACAACCAGTATTCATGGGACACTCAGCAGCTCTTAAGTCATTCCCTCATTTAAACCTCACAACCAATTTGAGAGGGAAAAGAAGAGAGAGGGAGGAAGAGAGATAGAGAGAGAAACGGAGAAAAAGAGAGAAAGAGATAGATAAAGAGATCCATGCTATCTTCATTTTATCCTGGAGGAAAACAAAACTCCAAGTTGTTCGGTAATCCACCACCCAAACTAGAAAATGAAAGCACAAGAATTTGAATCTATGTCCAACTCTCATTCTCTTAAAACACTTTCCTCTGGGCCAGTCACTCCAGCAAGGCCACGCTGGAGGAGGTCCTAGGAGCCAGGGCTCAGTCGGAGTTGGGGTGGTTTGAACCAGCACTTCTTCCAAGATCAGAATGTTGTAGCTCACTGTCCTTAGAATCCAACTTGTCTTTAAGCTGCCCTAATTAACAACCTCAGGGACAGCAAGATGAACAATGGGGAATATTATAGAGGGCTTTAGCCCCATAAAAATTAACTAGAGTTTGACCTTCACTGGGAATTTGAAAAGCAACATCCTTCAAGAAAAAGGAGGACAGAAATGGCCCCAAGGCCAGAGTGTCCTGCATGCTCTGTAAAGAAACTGATAGGGAGAAACTGAAGCTCCCTTTACCCCATAAAACTGTAACTGTTCAACATGTGTGTATTGCACCTGACTGACCGCTGATATCTGTCTCGAATTTGTTAGTTTTTAAAACCTGGATAATGAAATGAATAGCAGAATAGATGTATGCTGACCCAGTTCACCCAGTTCCCTTTCGCCTCAGCTCCCTCCCCCCTCCGTTCCCTCCTGCTTATCGCTAACTGCCTCCGCTTCTGTACAAGCAGCTTGCTTGCTCTGCTAAACTCTTGAATGACCCCTGCCCTATATAAGCAACCCTCCCCCTGAGCTCGGGGCTGCAGTTCTCCTCTGTGTAGGTTGGCTGCAGTCCCTGCGCAGGTAATAAAACATCCCCAAAAACTGAAAAATGGAGTCTGAGTGTGGTCGATCTCCTGGGTTACAACAAGAATAGGCAGAGCTTCCTAGGAAGGGTCAAGGACAAATCTGGGGAAACAGATCAAGCCCCAGGAGTTGGCTATCCCCAGGCCAGAAATGGGAAACAAAGAAGGTCAAGAACCAGGCAGGGGCCAAAGCCAAACTGGGAGTGAAGAACAGGAGTAAAGAAGGAGCAAAGCAAAGGGTGCAGGGGCACCTTCACCCAAGGCATGACAACTCAGCCTGGTTTAAAAGGCACCTGTGTCGGGATGCTCAGCTGTCGCCATGGGGTTAGGATGCTTGGGTCCAGACCATCCTGATCCATCTCCAAGTGCACTCCCACATCCTTTGTCTCACTTACTCTTCAAAATAATATTGAAAGGTGAGCAGATGCTCTATGTACATTCCTAATAATCTTCTCATAAGAAAAGCTTCCAGTTTCTCCCTAGATTATTCGTCCTAAATCTCAGTTTTGGTTTTGACATTCCCTTGGCTCAACATTTTTCACGGATTCTCCATTGCACAGCGTACAAATCCAAACTAATGCTCCAGTCCAACCTAATTATTGCTGTGGCCTGCAGAGGCCTAATTCATTCCTAATCGGTGTCTTTCCTCAGACTATTCCCTTTGCCTGGGGGCCCTCTCTCCACTGTTTGTTAAGTCAGTGCCCCTCCACGCCCACCTCCATGGCCCATCTTTCAAAACCCAGCTCAGATGGTCACCTTCCCCATGAAGTTCTTTCCCAATGAGCTCCCAGAGCAGATAATCACCTCCAACCACACTGTACAACATGCAGGTTTGTGTCATCTCCTCTAGTAAGATCCCAACTCTTGACCAGTAGGGTAGACAGAGAATGGGTCTTTCTCTCTTTCTCTCTCCCCCTCACACAGGGCCCTGATCACATAAATAACACCTGTCTGGTGTTTTACCCATTGGAAAGTACGATGATAAATACGGTCTCAGTGTTGAAGTATCTGTTCGACAGCCGAGAAGACGGCCTCAGTCCGACGCTGTCGCTCCACCCTGCAGCCGCTGGCTGAGTGAGCACTGCCCCTCCCCGCTGGACAGAAGGCACAAACGAGCCTCAGGTCTGTGCGGAGGACAGCGAGCGCACTGCTTTCCACTGGCGGGGAGTGCAGAGGGAGCTGCGCTTTACCTTCATGTGTCTGGCCAGACATAGTGAAACCCCGCAAGGAGGAAACTTGTGTTCTGGTCACTGTGGAAGCAATGACATTGTCTGCTAAGTGGGTAACCCAACCACAGACATCCTCCCTATATCCCCTGCCCCCAGCCCTGGCCTGGAGCCCCGGGAGCCCGGGGCGAGGGTCTTTGAGTGGCAGCCCAGGCAGCCCTTGGTACAGCTTACACCTGTACATGTGGCTGCCACAGAAGCAGCTGGTGGAGAACCAAAGGGCAACACGGCCTGAGGGTAGACAGGACCAGAGCCAGGCAGGGCACACCTGCCCAGGGGTTTCTCAACGGCACCCACACAGCTTGTGCAAGGTCCTCTGTTTCCAGTCCAACCTCGCAAAGGGGGACTTTGGCTTGATTTCCTGTTGCCCCCTTCTCTCTAACAAGCTTTCTTTTCATTCCTGACCCCATCTGAAGGGCTGTGAGT